TGTGTGTGTGTGTGTGTGTGTGTGTGTGTGTGTGTGTTGTGTGTGTGTGTGTGTTTGTGTGTGTGTGGATGTATGTGTGTAAATAAATTTTTGTCGTACGGTTTCTCAGAAACCAATCAACCGATTGAATTCTACGATTCGTTATTCGAAAGGGTTTTGTTACGTGTGAGCCTACACCTGGTCATTTACCTGTCACATAAACAGACCTCCGGACTAGCTCAGCGTCTCACTGAAAAATACTTAAATGTTGAAAAGGGTATGGGTCGCTCAGTGAATGAATAATACACGTGAATTACGGTACTAATTGTTTATTGGGCGTCCCCAAAGCATGGGAGTTACCCAAAATGGCCCTGAGAGTCATCTTTACAATCTAATTCTCTACTAAAGCGATTCTAAACAGACATAATATCATTCGATAAATGCAATACTAATGATTCTATTACAGAGAGAGAGAGATGGGACAGCAACGAGAGTGAGAGTCTTCGAGGACTATTAATTTCGATGCTCATTAGCAGACTCGACATAGATTCGGACAGACTAAACGACTGACTGACTACAAGTGGCAGCCCGTCCCGACACTTCCAGGGTTTTTAACGCCTCGGTCGCTGTTGCCGTCAACACCTGTATCCCTGCGCGGAACTTGTATTGTTCCGCATTTGAACTCAGATTATTCCGCCTTCGGGAACTAAGTGGTTATTCTCAAGTTCCTTAATCAGCAGGAAAAGGTATTAATGCGCCGAAAGCGGTTCCCTGTATGAGAGTACCTGTTCGCTCGGTTCCCATGAGAAAATGTCTCATCAGCACCACGTGCAAGCAGCGATTCTCGCTAACCAGAGTCAGGCTAGAAGGACAACGGAAATTCGGTGTCTAATTTAGGTGGGCAAGTTGGCCCTATCGATTTATAGAATATACATATGATTTATTATAATGTTGACGGGAGGGTAGGCCCACCCGTCACAGGTTTATAGAAATTTAGATCTGAATAGATTCGAAAGTTAATCCATCGAGCCATTCCGAAGAAATTGAAAAAAAAAACCAAAAAACAATTTGAAGTTTACTTTTTCATAAAATAACTCCAAAGAGTGTGAAAAAAATCATCAAAAGATCATGTATACTTTTTTTTTGCTTAAAAAACTGCGTCGAATGTTTTTTTAAAAATGAAAATCGAACGACGCATTCAAAGTATTGATATGAGGTTATATTAACAAGTAAAAACGACAATTCATATATATATATATATATATATATATATATATATTAAGCAAGTGTTTATTAATATCTAAGTACAAAATAAGCTCGATGCTTACTATGAGTATCGTAGATTAGAACTGACTTAGTGTTATAATGTGTATGCACATTTCCCCCTTGGATGAAGTCATCTACCCCACCACTCAGGTCATGACATCAAGATGTGCGTATTGCACTTATATCCAACACAAAGTTATAGTTGCTTAATAAATACATTTTGAGCTCAAAGACCTCAAAATATGAAAAACTGTGCTTTGAGCTTGAAAAGCTCAAATATTAACCAAAAAACACATTTTAGGGTGCTTTAAATTCAAACTTAGCGGGAAGTTCTGGGGTTGGCCTGAACGGTCAACTGATTTCCAGATTTTTTTCTAAAAAATGTAATAATTTTGTTTGTAAATTATTATAATTTATATTCAAAAAAATTAATGCATGATAAGACTAAGTGCATAATATTAAGCAATCGTTTGCATTTGTATTTTATTGTGCATTTTTTTTCGTCATTAATTGATATATCCCGATTTAATATTAATTGTATTGTATTTTTTCAATTATTATTTTCAGTAAAATGTCACCAAAAAAATCCGTTGCAGCTTAATTTGAACTTTTCATCATTCTTTACCAATTACTTCCTTAATAATACCAATTATAGTACCTAATAATTGAACGATATACAAGAAAACTACAGCAACGCGTGGCCGGGTTTGCTGGTATACTTATATTCTTATTGGATAAATTTCTACATCATGACTTGTTATTCTTGTAAAAGATCTATAATTAAGTAGCTGTCTTAGCGATTACAGGTTTATAAATTTTTCCGAATTACAGAAAAATCTCTTAAAAAAAAACTGTCTGCTCGATCAAATATTTAATCACCTATTTTCTAACAAAGCGTTTTTTTTTATTTTAATTTTGTTTTTTAAATTCACGAATCTGCGATAGCTTTGCTGTTGTGAGTAAAAACGATAGAACAGTATCTCACGACGAGGGCAAGAGGGTAAAAAGACGGGAACCGTTTTAAATATGGTAAACTTACTTCCATTTCGACTTGATTGACAATTTTTGAACGAGAATAAGATTGTAATATAAATATTTTTTCTACGTTATTTTGTTTTTTTTAAGATTATGGAGTTAAATATTATTCTATCTATTTTTGTAAAAAGAAACCATACTTGGCTCCATCTTCTATAATGCATGTTGGTATTTGATTCTGCAATAATTGTCTAATTACCACGGAATCTATAAAAAATTCATATTTATTATAAGATAGATGGTGGGTAGTGAAGGTAATAGTGAGTGCTGATAGTAATGAAAGGTTTGATAATTAATAAGGCACATCTAAAACGACGAAGTGCCTAGCAAATACTCTAAGATTCATATCTAATAATATCAAGAGACACGATATAAAATATTAATAACATAGCTATAGGATTTTATTCGATGGAAATAAGGAGCGAGAAAGGTCCACTTCGTAACAAATTCAAACAAGGCAATTGCCAATTGATTATTGATGAGAAACCAAAGATTGGTTTGTTTCCAATATTATCTACTACAATTGTATTTTTAGTACAGAATAATTGTAAAATTTGGTTTGTCACATGTTGACTGAAAAGATTCAGAAAGTTTCACGATTTAGCCGTTGAATTCCTACGCTTATCTTTTTTGATGCAATGAATCGATCAACAAGGCGTATAGAATGTACTTACGTTCCTGCTTCCACAAAACTGTGTACGGTATTTATTGTTCACTCATCGGAAAATGTCGAGGAGCTCAGATGTTCTCTAAGTAACTCAGGCCAGCTGCTCAGTTTCTGAGGGAAAAGGGAATGACGTTGATTATTTGTATAGATGAAATTGTTCATCAGTAGAGAAAGCTCATTCATTAATGAAATATCATTAATACGGATAAATAAATGAGAAAATTTTTTACAAACAATATTTTGCAAGATATTATTTACATTTAACTTGAATA